CACCACCTCTGTCAGAGTGCAGACGCAGGACAGGAAGATCCGTCCGGAAACGGCGGCGGAGCTGGAGACGAACTGTGCGGATCCAAGGGATCAGAACAGCAGGGACCTCACCCTTGGTGCGCAAGGGGAAGACCGTGGTGTAACACGAGTAGTCGTCGACAACCAGCAAAAAGTACCGCTCACCGCCCTGGCCACGAACGCGGGCAGGGCCCCACACGTCCAGGTGGAGGGTCTGCAGAGGAGCCTCTGTCGGGGGGAACGAGGAGGAGTGAGGAGCGGCGCGCTGCCGCCCCTCGACGCAAGGAAGGCAAGGCGGCGCAGGCGAGGCAGGGAGGGGAGGGAGGGACCTGGGAAGACCAGACACAAGGCTGCGACGGTGCATGCCACGGAGGCGTGGCAAGGAGGGGTGACCCAGGCGGTGGTGCCAGAGAAGGGTCTGGTGCGACAGGGAACGACACTCACAGGCGTGGGCCACCAGACCTGACGCGGACACCTGACCGACAGCAGCGACCTGAGGAGACGCAGTGGTCAGTGTGTAGAGACTCGACCCCGGCCGACGGGTAAACGTAGCCAGGTGACGGCCGGTCCTGGAGCACGTGCAGATCGCCACACGCTGTCCTCCAGGGGTAAAGGTGTCAACCCACTGATCCTGGATGACAGCGTTGCTCACCAGGTTCGTCGAGAACGAGGGGAGGTGGAAACCCGACAACGAGCCAGACGGAACCGCTGGACAAGGGAGCACAGTGGTGGACTGGGCAAGGACTGGGCCCCCAGAGGGGTCAGCCAAGGAGACTGGGACCGGTGCAGGAAGCGGTGTGAGCTCAGTACTGTCACGAAAGAAACAGCGGGAAGCACCTGAGTCAAGGGTGAAGGTGTGACAGGCCTCAGCCGGTGCGGTACCTGAGAGAGCAGTCTCTGTGGGTGCTGTACCTGAGAGAGCAGACTCGCAAACAGTCGGGACAGCACTGGAGGGAGCAAGTACAGGGGGCACCATACCAGAGAGAGCAGACTCACTAGTACCCAGGACAGCGGGCTCTATACCTAGGTCAGGCGGCACACACAAGTAACAGTGGAAGACGGGAGGGAAAGAACCTGGCGAAGAACCGTGTCAGGCGGCGGCAAAGCCGACGGCGACGGAGGAGCTTAACACCTCCCTCTCTCCTCCTTTCCCCCCTCTCTCGTCCCTCCTCTCCTCTCGCATCTTGTCCCCCACTATCCTCCTCTCTCCCCCCGTCCTCCTCTCTCCCTTTCTCCCCCGCTCTCCCCCTATCCCCCTCACTCATCCCTGCCCTCCCTTCTCCCTTCTCTTCTCCTCATGTCCCCGCCTCCTTTCCCTTATTTCCCCTTTCCAATCCAACCCCTCGTTCCCTTCCCTCCGCCCCCCCGTTTCTCCCTTTTCTTCCCCATTGCTCTCGGTTTCCCCCATTGCGTGCCTTCATTTCCCCCACTGCTACTCCTCTTTTCCCCCCCTTCTTCGCCTCCTTTTCTCCCTGTTGCTTGTCCTCTGTTCTGCCTGTGCCTTTCATCAATCTTCCCCCTGCTTGCACCCTCTCAATCCCCTGCGTTCCCTCCCTTCCCTGTTTCTGTATTCCCACCTTCCCTCACGTGAGTTTTGCTTTGCAGCATCCAACGGCATATTACAGTACGAAACTTTGAGACTACTGAAGCTGCTGTCATGGTGGCCTCTGTTAGTTTTGTGTGTGACGCTGTACAAAAGAACAGTATTCGAATCAGGCGATATTATGTAAACCTTTTAGAACCATATATTTTTTTGGGTGTTGTGAATACACATGATACAAGCATGCCGTATCAGCATACAATACAAGCTCAAGCATTTGCTCGAGGCTTGGATATACCATTTTAAATCTGCAAAGCGGTCCCTTTACGCAGTGTAGCTCATTTATGCCTCTGCGACGCTGAAAGCAGGGGCAAGGGTAGGCGGCACATCCATGCGCCTCGTCTGAAACTTGCCTGGGATGACGAGGGGTGAGGGGATAGGACAGGGAGGGGTGAGAGAGAGGAAAGGACAGGGCGGGGTGAGAGAGAGGAAAGGACAGAGGAGAAAAACTCCGCTCTTTGTTTCGAAGACCTCACGATCCCCCCTTCCCCCTCCTACCATAGCCAGCCGTAAACCAATCTTTCCCGTCTCCCACTTCCCCTCCTCCCCACTTCCCCTCCTCGCCCTTCCCCACTCAGCCCCATTTTCCCCCTTCTCCCCCCCTCCAGCTCACTCACCCGCAGGCGCGACCCCTCGCGCATGGCCTGCGCCAGCTTGCGCAGCACCATGCAGTCTGCCAGCACACGATCCTCACACATCTGACGGGAGGGGAGGAAGCAGAGGGGCAGAAAGGGCACGGTGAGAGGGCAAAAAGGGAAATGTTATGAGTTGTTCAAAACAAGCACTAAGAGGTCTGCGGGTCTTCGCACACGTGGGTGCTGGTGAAAGGGGACATGAAGGGGAACGAGTATGGAGACGAGGGGAAAGGGCGGAGAGGGCAGTGAGGGGGAAGGCTGGGGTTTTCGAGATGCCCCTAGACTAGCTTGTGCTGCAGCATGCTGGCCGCGCGCATGCAGTCCTTGCACCACTGCAGTCTGCAGGAGCAGGTGGGGGTTGAGGAAGGGGGGGGAGAGGGGTAAGGGCGCATGCGATGCCGAGGGGAACGGCGCATGCGACGCCGAGGGGAAGGGCGCATGCGACGCCGAGGGGAACGGCGCATGTGACGCCGAGGGGAACGGCGCATGCGACACCGAGGGGAAGGGCGCATGTGACACCGAGGGGAATGGCGCATGCGACGCCGAGGGGAATGGCGCATGCGACGCCGAGGGGAATGGCGCATGCGACACCGAGGGGAGAGGCGAGTCACTCAGGAAGGTAGGAGAGGCGCTGTGATGGCACGAAGGGAGTCAATTCGCTGATAGGGAGATCGTGACAAGGGTGGATAGAGTGCATGAAGGGCAGGGAGCGAAGCAAGGGAGAGAGAGGAGTAGGTTGCAGAGACGAGTAAGCGCGAAAGCGTCGAAGGGATTACGAGAACGTAAGGTGAGCACTACGCGCGACACGCAGACGGAAGAGATCATCTTCCGTCTTCACGTCGCGGTATAAGACGAATTAATGGTGTGAGGGGAGTTACCCCCCGAACTTTGGCGTGTAGCTCATTGTGCAACCCTAAGGCGTTGACGACGATAGCGAAGAGAGGCGTGGCGTCTGGACCTGGTTCGCGCGGGAGTGGGCTGCGTAATGGGGGGCGGGTATAGAACATCGTCCGCCTGATACGAAAGACGCGTGCTGCGTACGCCGTCGCGGCGAAATGCGCGCCTATAATGCTGTGCAATGTCGCCGAAGTAAAACGCATCCAGTGCGGGCGAGATAAACACGGGGCGGCCGAGATAAATTCGATGGCCGTAAACCATAAAATCCCCTTATTTGATGACGGTGTAATTGTGCTACTCTCGCTGTCTAGTTTGTCGGTTGCCTGCACTAATGCTGTGCGCTAGAGTTGTGGTTGCTAAGCTATTACCTGCTCGCAATATGAGTGTCGTGGTACGAGAGTCAAGCGCCTCATGGTTCACAAACTGCCTGGTTGGGACCCAAGTTCCCAACTCTCAGTTGGCCCGCCGCAATTGACGACGGGGGAGAAACAATCCGCCCAAGTCCGCAACACTGAACTTGTGCATTCGCCGGACTCCCAACACAAACAGGGTAACCATGTGGAGGCAAGTGATAAACCTTTGCCTCCACCCCCCCCCAAAGTGCACCCTTGCTTTAAAGCAAGGGTGCACATTCATGGGGGTGGTTTTTCGGTGTATTGTCATGTTCACCCTTTGATGCCCAGTGATTCGCGAGCGAATTTTGGTTCGATCTGTATACCTAGTGCGAGTTGACGACACCACACTAGCGAGGCGAATCAAATTCGGCCATTTTCAGGTGCATGCAGCTTAGTCTAGGAACTGTATTCAGGTGCATGCCATGTTATTGGGCAGGTGTGTACACTGTACGCAGCTTAGAAATCTGTTATCGTAAAATTACGCGCTTCCAAAGATTCGTTTAAATTTAGCACAAACAGTCGAGAATAGATGCGATTCCGGATTACGCAGAGCGAAATCGGAATAGTTGGCTCTCGATCCTGCATTTTCTGACATCACTAGAAGCAATCATTGCATGTTTGCCCACTTTCGACGTGAATTTCTGCTTCGCGCCAACTCTTCTTAAACGAACCTACATACGTGATCAGTTGTACTGTTGACGCGGTTGACGGACGCTGCGCATGACAAATCAACAAATTTTTCTTGGGCGTGCAGAAATTGGGAAAGGGTAATCCGAGACGTGAAAAATCTGCCCGAGTTCTAATTGGGTTTCCCCTAACGCTATAAAATACATACGCTACAAAAAATCATAAATGGTAAGTATAGACAATTAAAATATACTATGTACCGTACGAACATTATCTTTTTTTGGGGCAAACTTTACAGACACTTGGGCAAACTTCTCATTTTTGGGATTACCCTTCCCAAATTTCTGCACGCCCAAGAAAAAAATGTTGATTAGCCATGCGCAGCGGTCGTCACCCGCGACATCCGTACAGCTGATCTAGCATTTGTGTTTGTTAAAGAAGAGTTGGGGCGAAGCTGAAACTCGCGTTGAAATTGGGCAAACATGCAATGATTGCTTCAGGTGACGTCAGAAAATGCAGAATTGAGAGCCAACCATTCCGATTTCGCTTTGCGAAATCCGAAATCGCATCTATTATTAACTGTTTGTGCTAATTTGAAACGAATATTGGGAATTGTGTATGTTAAAGTAATACGTTTCTAAGCTGCGTAAAGTGTACAAACCTGCCCAATAACAGTTCCTAGACTAATTTGAAACGAATATTGGGAATTGTGTATGTTAAAGTAATACGTTTCTAAGCTGCGTAAAGTGTACAAACCTGCCCAATAACAGTTCCCAGACTTCCACGTCGCGACAAAGTGGTAGGAGGTGCCTGATTGCGACGGTTACCATGGTGCAAGGCGTCGCGGCCTCGTCCTCCACATCGACGCCTCGCCCCCGCATCGCCCCCTCGTCCACACAACGCAAGCTAGCCGCGTCACTTTCTCGTCGTCGTGGCGTCGTGTCATCGGCGCCACATCGCCACTTCCCCGCCACGTCAACAGGTCGCCGCCTGCCGCATCGAAGCCTCATCGCTCTGTGTGCACTCATGTCCCCACCTTCTTCCCGTCTCATATCAGTGCCTTCCCTCTCTCATCCTTTCCTCTCCTCTCTCATCCCCTCCTCCCCTCTCTCATCCCTCCATCTCCTCTCTCGTCTCGTCCTCCTCTCTCTCATCCCTCCCTCTACTCTCATCCCCTCCTCCCCTCTCTCATCCCGTCCTCCCCTCTCTCATCCCGTTCTCCCCTCTCTCATCCCGTCCTCCCCTCTCTCATCCCGTCCTCCCCTCGCTCATCCCGTCCTCCCCTCTCTCATCCCGTCCTCCCCTCTCTCATCCCGTCCTCCCCTCTCTCATCCCGTCCTCCCCTCTCTCATCCCGTCCTCCTCTCTCCCCTCCCGTCCTCCCTTCTCACCTCCCGTCCTCCCATCTCTCCTCCCGTCCTCCCCTCTCTCATCCCGTCCTCCCCTCTCTCATCCCGTCCTCCCCTCTCTCATCCCGTCCTCCCCTCTCTCATCCCGTCCTCCCCTCTCTCCTCCCGTCCTCCCCTCTCTCCTCCCGTCCTCCCGTCCTCCCCAGACTTGCGCGCGCATCCAGCAGCGGGGGCGCGCGGGGGGAGGGCTTAGGGTAAGTGGGGCGGAAGGGGAGGAAGAGGTGAGCTGAGATGAGGAAGGGGAGGATTTGGCGGAACTCGGACCCTTCCCAGCCCTTACCCCCTCCACCAGGCGCTTCCCGTCCCCTCTTCCTCTTTCCATTCCCAACCCTTCCCTTCCATCATGCATTGTTATGTTCCTCACTTCAGCCCATCGTCCCTTTAGCTGATCCCCCCTCTCTCAACTCGTCCTCCCCTCTCTCCACCCTTCCACACCTCACTCATCCCGTCCTCTCCTCTCTCGTCCCGTCCTCCTCTCTCTCATTCTTTCCTGTCCCCTCTCACGGTCCCTTTCTCCCCTCTCTCATCCCTTCCTCTCCTCTCTCCTCCCTTTCTTCCCTCTCTCATCCCGTGAGAGAACTCTCTCAACCCGTCCCCCCCTCTCTCGTCTCGTCCCGTGAGGCACCTTTACGAACGGAGGGGAAGCTTGGGAAAACGAGTGCACAGCACAGCTGGGGGGGGAGGGAGTGTATGAATGCAAGAGAGTGATCGCATGTTTCTATTCCTCTACACCTCTGCCATTTGCTCCGCACTCTCCACCATTCCTGCCTCCGCAAAACCCATCATCACCCACTCAACGCAGCCCCACTCCACTCCACCCACACCCTCTTCTCCCCCGTTCCCCTCCTTCCTTTCCCGTTGTTTTCTCCTCCCCTCCCTCCTCCCCCAGTACTCCCATGCCCCCAACATCGACCCAACGTTCATCCGCCCCATGCCAATCCTCCACCCCACCATGGCGCTCATGCAGGCGCTGCTGCACGTCCCCTTCCCCCTTCCCCTTGGCCGCGGAGGATGGGGAGATGGAGGGGGAAGGCGTGGGGAGGTAACGAGGGTGGCCGGGGGGCGAGGGAGGGGCAGGGATGGGGCTGCTTCTCCTGCACTCATCCCTGTGGGGTCGCAAAGGAGCTGTGCGTGCAGACCATGCGGGACAACTTTATTCCACTTTTAGTGCCTAAATTACTTGAGGGACAACTTTATGGCGACCATGTTGGCGTTGGGTGAGATGAGGGACTACAAACTTCACCCGCAGTTTAGGCCCGTCACAAGTGTGTACAAAAACGTGCCATATTCCTGTCAGTAGCCACTTTCTGATACACGGGATTTGGGGGGTACATCAACATACCATTGCATAAACGGCCACAAACAGCCTCTTGCTTGTTATGATCTGACCTGGATATTATCCCTACATAAATGCGCCACTTTACCACAACGCACCGCGTTTCAAGTGTTTGCAGCCTTGTCCGTCATAACACAAACTCAACGTCTGACTAGTGGTTGCAACCGTATCTGGACCCTGCTGCGCAACCCATGACAGTCAGCGTCACCACCCATGGTCGCCAGGCTGATCTGACGCACAAGATCACCGATGAGCGCAAGCGGGTGCTAAGGACAGATGGAGGACGGTGTTGGATGATGACAAATGACAGATGGGGCGATGCAGAGAAGTGAGCAAGCTGTAACTAGGACGCAAAGTGTGTGGGTGAGCAAACTGGAGATAGTGTGCAAGGCGAGTGCGTCTATTTGCATCCAGCCCTCACACTGGCAGGAGAGAGTTGTAGACTGGTTCGAAAGGGTGGGGAAGGGAGCAAGCACGCCGGGTTGGAACTGGAACATGTGGTGCGCCAGATCATGCAGTGCAAAATGACAAAGCATTGGGCACGGACAGTGTGCGGCAGTAGGAAAACTTCATTGCAGCCTCAGGGGGACAGGCTAATACAGGGAGAGGGTGCAGGACCGGGCAGAGAGGGGCCATATAATTAGACAGCCACATTTAATTGTAAAGTGTGGGAATAGGACTTGACACGGATGTACGGTAGAGGGGGGAAAGGTGGAACAAGGGGCGTATGGCAGATTGGCGCATGGGGGACAAAATGTGTAAGGCAGAAAGGGGTAAGGGTGAAAAGGAGAGTAAGGCAGAGAGGGGAGAGGGGGAAGAAGGGTGTAGGGAAGGGAGGGAAAAGGGAGAAGCAGAGAGTAAGGCAGCGTGGCGTTAGGGGGATGAAGGGTGTAAGGAGGAGAGAGAACGGGGGGAAGCAGGGCATAAGGCAGAGAGGGGAAAGGCGGAAGATGGGTGTAAGGCAGAGAGGGGAAAGGGAGAAGAAGGGTGAGAGGCAGAGAGGGAAAGGGGATAAGAAGGGTGAGAGGCAGAGAGGGAAAGGGGATAAGAAGGGTGAGAGGCAGAGAGGGAAAGGGGATAAGAAGGGTGAGAGGCAGAGAGGGAAAGAGGATAAGAAGGGTGAGAGGCAGAGAGGGAAAGGGGATAAGAAGGGTGAGAGGCAGAGAGGGAAAGGGGATAAGAAGGGTGAGAGGCAGAGAGGGAAAGGGGATAAGAAGGGTGAGAGGCAGAGAGGGAAAGGGGATAAGAAGGGTGAGAGGCAGAGAGGGAAAGGGGATAAGAAGGGTGAGAGGCAGAGAGGGAAAGGGGATAAGAAGGGTGAGAGGCAGAGAGGGAAAGGGGATAAGAAGGGTGAGAGGCAGAGAGGGAAAGGGGATAAGAAGGGTGAGAGGCAGAGAGGGAAAGGGGATAAGAAGGGTGAGAGGCAGAGAGGGAAAGGGGCAAGAAAGGTGTAAGGCGGAGGGGAGAGAGGGGGAGGACGGGTGTAGTGAAGAGAGTGACGAGGGGGAAGCAGGGCGTAAGGCAGAGAGGGGAAAGGCGGAAGAGGGGTGTAAAGCATAGAGGGGAAGGGGAGAAGAAGGGTGAATGGCATGGAGAAAAAGGGTGATGTAGGAGGTAAGGGAGATAGTGGAAAGGTAGAAGAAGGGGAGTATGGCAGAGTGGCGTAAGGGGGATAAAAGATGCAAGGCATAGAGGCGAAAGGCGGAAGAAGGGAGTAACACAGAGAGAGAAAGGGGAGAAGTGGGGTGAATGGCAGAGAGAATGAATGGGAGGGTGTAAGGCAGCGAGGGGAAAGGGGGAAGACGGGTGAATGCGAGAGAGGGAAAGGAAGCGAAAAATGGTAAGGCAAGGAGGGGATAGGGGGAAGAAGGGTATAGGGAGGAGAGGGGAAAGGGGAAAGCAGGGCGTAAGGCAGAGAAGGCATGGTGGGGGAAGACGGGGGAAAGGAAGCTAGCGGAGAGGGGGAAGAAGGGTGTTTGGAAGACAAGGGGGAGGGGGACGCATGGTGTAGGGAAGAGAGGGGAAAGGGGGAAGCAGGGCGTAAGGCCAAAAAGAGAGAGGGGGAAACACGGTGCAGGGAAGAGAGGGAAAAGGGGTTTAGCAGGACGTTAGGGAGAGCTCGCTTGGTGGGGGAAGAAGGGTGTAAGGTAGAGAGGGGAAAGGGGGAAGAATGGTGTAGGGAAGTGAGGGGAAAAGGGGAAGAAGGGGGTAAGGCAGAGAGGAAAGAGGGAGAAGAAGGGTGGAAGGCGGAGAGGGGGGAACGGTGTGTAGGGCCGAGAAAAGGGATAAAGGGGACAAACGGTGCATTTTCTGGTGGCCAAAGGTTGCGTTCAGAGCGGAAGGGAGATGCGTACAGAGGGCGCAGCATGGGGGCGGAGTCCAGGAGAGTCAGGGGTATAGCAGAGGGGAAGTAAGGCGCAGATTAGTTCGTCGCAATCCCTTTTCCCAACCGCGCCTTAGCAGCTGAGTTCCTGTTCTCGCCGCCGCTATGTGTTGCTGCTCGTCCGCCCGTCGCGCGAATTGCTGCTTGCTACCGTCCGCCCTTCGTGCGGGGAAGCAGGGGGGGGGGAGGAGGGGAAGCAGTCCAGGAAAGGAGGGGAAGCAGGGAGGAGACGGCGGGGAAGCAGGGGGGAGAGGGAGTTTAGGGTTGCAAAGGGGGAAAGGACGGGGGCTGCTGCTATTAAACCAGCACGGAGGGGAATGCACGTGGGTGACGGAGTGGAGTGAGCGTGGGCGACTTCTTGGAGGGAAGCGTCGCGTGCCCGGCGTGAGGGGAGTGTGCGTGGGCGAAACAGAGGAGTGCGCGGGGGCGGACGAGGGGAGTGTGCATGGGCAAAGAGGGGAGCGCGCGGGGGCGGACGAGGGGAGTGTGAGTGGGCGAAACAAGGGAGTGCGCGGGGGCGGACGAGGGGAGTGTGCGTGGGTGAAAGAGGGGAGTGCGCGGGGGCGGACGAGGGGAGTGTGCGTGGGCGAAAGAGGGGAGCGCGCGGGGGCGGACGAGGGGAGTGTGCGTGGGCGAAACAGGGGAGTGCGCGGGGGCGGACGAGGGGAGTGTGCGTGGGCGAAAGAGGGGAGCGCGCGGGGGCAGACGAGGGGAGTGTGTCAAACATTATGCATGTTGTAGCTTTGTAGGCTACAGTGGGTTTAGCCTTAGGGGGTACAGAACTCTAGGGTTTCATATTTGTACTCCCATTGATGTTAGTCACATTATTCTCGTTCTAACTTTCACATGGTATAGAGCAGGTTCCCTCGTGGGAACTGTTCCTAGGGCCCACCGTAAGATTTTTTTTCCTGCCCGGAGCGCGCTCCGCCCCTGCCCGAGTCCCCCCCCCCCCCCCCCCCCCCCCCCCCCCCCCCCCCTCCCCTCTCTTAGCGGCCCCGTCGCGCCGCCCTTTAGGCCCCGGCGCCGCCTCTGCTGGCCCCGCGGCCCTACCCTCGCGACCCCGCGGCCCCACCCTCGCGTCGCCCTGCGCGGCGTCGTTACAGCCGCCCGCGACCCCGACGCCGCCCGTCGCGGCCCCGTCGCCCTTCGCGCCCCCCGCGACCTCGTCGCCGCGGCCGCCCGCGACCCTACCGCCGCGGCCGCCCGTGACCCTGGCGTCGCAGCCGCCTGCGACCCTGCCGCCAAAGCCGCCCGCGACCCTAACGTCGCTGCCGCCCGCGACCCTGCTGTCGCAGCCGCCCGCGACCTCGTCGCCGCAGCCGCCTGCGCTCCCGTCGTCGCAGCCGCTCGCGGCCCCTGTCGTCACAGCCGCCCGCGACCCCGTCGCCCCACCCGTGCGACCCCACCGCCGCCCTTTGCGGCCCCGTCGCCACGCCTTCGCGGCCCCGCCGAGCAGCCGAGCCGCCGAGACGCTGCCGCAGCCGAGCCGCCGAGCCGCCGTTGCCGCTGGGCTGCCGGGCTGCCGAGCCGCCGCTGCCGCCGTGCTGCCGAGCCGCCGAGACGCCGCCGCCGCTGAGCTGCCGAGCCGCTGAGCCGCCGAGCCGCCGTTCCTGCTGTCGCGGCCCTGTTCCTGCCGACGCGCCTCGGTCCTTCTCGCCTGCCCGGTAAGAGCAGCGCCTCCACCACTGCTCTGCCCCTGCCTGCTGCTCTCACTGCTAGTCTACTGCTGTCATGGCTTCCCCCAGTGTCCTCACCTTTGACGCTGAGGGCCGGGCCATTGACTTTGACGTCTGGGTAGATGACCTGCAGCTTTTCCTACTGAGCGACAGAGCAGACGGCCTCTCCCTCTTTGACCTCACTTCTGGTGCCTCTCCTGCCCCTGCTGCTGATGCTGACCCCACTGTTCGCTCCCAGTGGGCCACGCGCGATGCTGCTGCCCGCCTTGCTGTGCGCCGCCACTTGCCGACCGCTGAGCGTGCGCACTTTAGCCAGTACAAGAGTGCTAAGACCTTGTACGACGCTGTAGTTGCACGCTACTCTTCCCCTGCCACTGCTGCGCTTAGCCGCCTCATCCTACCGTACCTCTTCCCTGACCTCGCCGCTTTTCCCACTGTCGCTGACCTCATTACGCACCTTCGCACTAGTGACACTCGCTACCGCGCTGCGCTTCCTGCTGAGTTCTGCGCCAAGAACCCCCCCCCCATGTACATCACCCTCTACTACATAGTCACCCGGCTCCCTGACACCCTTCGCCCGGTCAGGGACCACTTCCTCTCTGTTTGCCCCACCACCCTCACCGTTGACCTCCTCGAGGAGCGCCTTCTAGCGGCAGAGAAGAGCATAGTCGCAGTAGGTGCCTCTCGTGGTGACCCTCGTACCCCTGTCTTTGAGGGGTGCTCCCCCTCTCCCCTCTTGCCCTCTGTTGCCTCTGCTGCTGCGGCCGACCTCGTTGGTCTTGAGTCGGTCGCTGCGGCGTCTGCCCCTAGCGGGAGACGCCGCCCTAGAAAGGGCAAGGGGGGCAAGGGTGCTGGAGGAGCTGGAGGGGGCGGTGGAGGCGGAGGTGGAGGTGGTGGAGGGGGTGGGGGTGGCGGTGGGGGTGGTGGCGGGGGTGGGGGCGTCGGTGGCGGGACTGGAGGTGGAGGTGGAGGCGGCGGTGGCGGTGGGAGCGGAGGTGGCGGAGGTGGCGGTACTGGAGGAGGTAGCGGCGGAGGCGGTGGAGCTGGTCGGGGTGGCGCTGCGCAGAGGGGTGGCTCCGGTGGTGGTGCGCGCCAGCAGCAGCAGCAGCAGCGTACCCGTGAGACCCCTTCCCCCCAGCAGCTTCGTGAGTGGTACGCTGCTCGTCAGCGGGGCGGGGGTGCTGGCCCCTGTACCTACGTTCTCCGTACCGGCGACCGGGCGGGTGAGCAGTGTGGGGGCGCGCACCCCACCCAGCGCTGCTTCGGTCGTCTGACGGACGCGTGGCGCCACCAGTTCCCCGACGCTACTGAGATCCCTCGCTGGGGCGAGCTGTCTAGGGCGGGTGTTGCAATCTATGATCTTGATTTTGATGCTATTCTTGCTGCCATGTATGCTGTGACTATTAGTGATGAGGGTGACTGTTACCGGTGTTTCCCGCCTGACCCAGGCATAGAGGCTGCTGCGCTAGGTACTTGTGAGGCTGCTGCTCTAGGTGCCAGTGCGTCTGCCGCCCCAGGTGCCGGTGAGTTTGCGCTCTCAGGTGCTGCGTCGTCCCCGGACACCCACACCTTCACCCTTGACTCGGGTGCTTCCCGCTCCTTCTTTCGAGACTGCACCACTCTCACACCGCTCAGTCGGCCTGTTGCGGTCTCCCTGGCGGACCCCTCTGGGGGTCCTGTCCTTGCTCACTACTCCACTGTCCTACCGTGTCCGGCGGTCCCGTCTGGCTCCCTGTCGGGTCTCTACCTCCCCTCGTTCTCTACGAACTTGGTAGCGGGTGCTGACCTCCAGGATGCAGGAGTTGACCAGTTCACCCCTGCGCGTCAGCGGGTGACCCACTGCACTTGTGCGGACACGGGCCGACACTTGGCCACGTTTGCTCGTCGGCCAGGGTCGAGCCTGTACACACTGACTACTGAGTCTCCTCCAGTCACTGAGTCTGCTCAGGTAGCAGCGTCGGGTCAGGTGTTTGCTGCGGCGTCCAGGTCTGGTCCTGAGTCTGCCCCCTGCTCGTGTCGTCTCCTGTCCCACCGGACTCTCCTCTGGCACCACCGTCTTGGTCACCCCTCCCTGCCTCGTCTTCGAGGCATGGCTTCCCGTCTTCTTGTTTCTGGCCTCCCCCGGTCCCTCCCTCCCCTTCCTCCGGGGCCTGCCCCCACCTGCGTTCCCTGCGTCGAGGGGCGGCAGCGCGCTGCTCCTCACTCCTCCGAGTTTCCTCCGACAGAGGCTCCGCTGCAGACGCTTCACATGGACGTGTGGGGCCCAGCCTGCGTCCGTGGTCAGGGTCAGGAGCGCTACTTCCTGCTGGTGGTTGACGACTACTCGCGTTACACCGCAGTCTTCCCCTTGCGCAGCAAGGGTGACGTCACTGAGGTGTTGATCGCCTGGATCCGCGCAGCTCGTCTCCAGCTCCAGGAGAGTTTCGGCTCCGACTTTCCTGTTCGGCGTCTGCACTCCGACCGAGGCGGAGAGTTCTCCTCTGACCTTCTGCGGGCCTTCTGTCGCACACGAGGCATCCGCCAGACCTTCACGCTTCCGGACTCTCCGCAGCAGAATGGGATTGCTGAGCGCCGCATCGGCATGATCATGGACGTCGCTCGTACGTCCATGATCCATGCGGCTGCTCCCCATTTTCTGTGGCCGTTTGCGGTTCGGTACGCGGCGCATCAGCTCAACCTTCACCCCCGGGTCTCCATGCCGGAGACCTCCCCTGCTTTGCTGTGGACGGGGAAGGTTGGTGATGCGTCGCGTTTCCGGGTCTGGGGATCTAGGGCGTTTGTCCGCGACTTGTCTGCGGACAAGCTGTCCTCTCGCGCTGTTCCCTGCGTCTTCCTTGGCTTTCCCCCTGACGCGCCAGGCTGGCAGTTCTACCACCCCACCTCGCGCCGTGTCTTCGCGTCCCAGGACGTCACCTTAAACGAGTCGGTTCCCTACTACCGTCTCTTCCCCTACCGCACTGCGTCCCTCCCTCCCCCGCCGCTCTTCCTTACACCAGGCCCCCCTCCGGTAGACCCCCTCCCCCCTCAGGGTCCTGCTCCCTCAGGTGTGTCCCAGGTAGATGCAGTTGAGCCAGTCGAGGTAGCTGTTGACTCTGGTGCTGCTGGTGGTGCTGAGCCTGGGGGTGCTGGGTCTGGGGGTGCTGCGACTGGGGGTGCTGAGCCTGGGGGTGCTGAGCCTGGGAGTGCTGCGTCTGGGGGTGCTGAGCCTGGGGGTGCTGAGCCTGGGGGTGCTGCGCCTGGGGGTGCTGAGCCTGGGGGTGCTGAGCCTGGGGGTGCTGAGCCTGGGGGTGCTGCGCCTGGGGGTGCTGA